AGGGAAATCGCTGTGAGAGAGAATGGGGAGGGAGCTGGGAAAACCTGGGAGAGCTGTCAGACTGAGATGCAGGTCTGAGTCAGAGTGAAGAAGAGAGGGAAGGACGGCAGAGAAGTATCTAGATAGCCTCGTAGTCTAAGGAAGGTTCAGCTAGGTGGTCGGGAGTCCCCGAGCCTGTCAGTCATCCGAGAAGCCCTGTGTGCCCCAGGAACAGGAGGACTGTGACGCTATCCTTGCATGCTCAGCCACTGGCTGGCAGCAGCCCATGGGGAGCATGGCCTCAGAACAAACGTGGAAATGGCTGTCCAAGCCAGCAGCTGGGGCTGCTGGTCAATCACGATCCCTGTAGTTGGAGGCCTGCAAAGCACATTCTCAGGGCCACTGCAGTCCTCAAAGTTCCTGTCCCATCAAAGTCAGAGCCCTCACAGTGGCCACCAAGATCTCTCTGACCACAAGTCCTCCTATTCCTTCCCCTTATTCCCTTGCTGCAGCCACACTGGCCTCCTTGCTGCTCCCTGAACACACCAGGCATGCTCCACCACAGGCCCTTTGCACTGGCTGTTCCTGCTGCCTGCGAGTGTCCTTCTTATGCTGTCTACAGCGCCCCCCCACCTTCTGCTCTCTACTCAGATGAGACCTTCCCAGCTAGGCCCTTCCTGGCCTCCCCACCACCCCAGCTGCCCTGTCTTCGTTCTCTATGTCTCTCCGTAGCCATTGTGGCCACCTACTTTTGTTACATTGCTTGTCTCGCACCCCACCCCCCTGCACCAGCCCAGTGCCCAGCACACAGTAGGTACTTAGAACGGCCATGTGGGTGAGTGGAGGATAGTTCTTATCTTCCAGGGTGTCTGGGGCTCCGTGGGGCCCTGTGCTAGGCAGAGTGGGCACGATGGCAAGTGTGGGCATTGGCCTGGGGCTGGCACTCTCCTGTGGCAGCATGCTTGGACACCTCTCTTGGCTCTGTCCCCAGCCTCTGCCTGACCCAGCGCCCTCATTCTTGCTCTCAGCCTCTAGTACTGCTCCTCACTGTGGCCAGAGGTACCTTTCTCATACTTGCCTCTGATGCGGCCACTTCCCACTTAAACGCTCTCAGTGGCTTCCCATTGCCTTCTCCTTGGCCTGGGGCTCGGGCCTTCATTGAAGGCCTGTCTCAGTCCTGCCTCTACTACTCCAGTCCCTGCAGACTGGACTTCACCATTATTCACCATTTTTCAGGCATGCCATGCCCTTGGCCTAGAGCTAGGGCGCTCCTTCTCCACTGATGGGGTCTCCCAGCTCAGTCAGCATCTTTCTGAACACCTCCTACCCCGCCATTCTCTCCTCATCCCACCCCAGATGGCATCATACAACTCTCTCTACTTACAGGTGCCCATGCAAGGGTAAATATCTTGCTGCCAAAGTCACTAGGGCTGGGTATTAAGGGCTCCAGCCCTAGGGCAGGGCTGTGACTTCAGCTCTCACCTCTGCCCCCCTGGAGGACTGTCTTGGCCCTGACTTCAAACCTCTACTGGGGTTGGTGACCATTCTGAGTCAGCTGGCTCTAGCCTGGGGCCACCTCTGCTGCTCACTGAACAGCAGGAGCCAATAGGCCCTGGAGGCAATGGGCCTCAGACAAACAGCCACAGCTCAGCCCAGCCCAACACAGCCCCAGGCCCAGCCT